CAAAAAATGGCCCATCGACGATTATGTTTACTGCCTATCAATTAATGTTGCACTTCTGTAGTAGCCTAGTTAGAAAAATACATTTTAAGTAATACTTTTTTTTAAGAGAACCAGGGCGGTACCTGACGGGTATCCTCCCGATTTTATTAATTAGAAGGAAACCGTCTTACAAAGATTTTCTAAAAATCCCATGACGGTTTCTAATTGAATTAAGCTAAGAACTGTCTTACAATGAGTTCCCCTAAAAAACTCTTGACAGTTTTGTTTTTATGGACTAATGAAGAATTCCTAGAAACTGCTTTACAAAGATCATACAAGAATCTCACAACAATTTCCTAGTTCCAATCAATTAAACTACGAGACTGTCTCACAAAGATCTTCTAAAGATCCCATGACAGCTCATTAATCTAACCTAGCTACCTAACATGAATATATGGGAAAGACCTTTGATCCAAGTATAAAATACCTTGCAAGGAGCTAGGAAGGCTGGCTACACGGTCATGCTCTATTGATTGTCCTCTTGATGCTTGCTTTGATAGGCCATCTGCTAAAACATTGATCTCTCTGAATATATGATGCACTTGAAACCCAGTGCGTTGTAAAATACTTTGTATCTGCTGCAATGATCTATGGTGCTTCCAGGGAAATTCCTTGCCATTGTGTAGCAATTGAACCATTAATTTGCTATCCGTTTGAATCTTTACCTTGTGATATCCTTCTCTTTCTGCCCATATCAGTCCTTGTAGAATACCCTCTATTTCTACTGAGAGGCTGGTAGATTCTCCCATATGTTTGCTTATTACTTTGATGAAAATGCCTCGTTCTCCTCTAGCCACAAAACCCCATCCCGATTCTCCTGGACTTCCTAATGCTGACCCATCAGTGTTGATAATGATCTCTCCAGATTCCGGTGGTATCCAACATAGTGAAGTGAATTTTTTCTCCTTCCTTCCTCTGACTTTAACTTGAAAAATTTCCTCTAACTCATGTACCTCAGCCTGGGTTCTTGCTCGTAACTCATGAATACTCAAAATCATTGAAACGTTAGTACAAATTCCATGAGTTATTGAGTCAAAAGAAAACAAAGTACCTTAAAAAAAAACACTTATTTCGTGTTTTTCAAATTTCCCATAGAATGAAAGCTGGAGTGATCATGATAACTGCTTTTTTGGCTGATGAGAAGTTCCCAATTGAAAACCATGCTTGCACAAAGCTCCATAAACCTGCACTAAAGGGTAAAAAAATTCCATACAGGGCCAAGAAATAGTTCCAAACCTTTCTCACTTGTGGGCATTCATAAAAAACATGTTGTATACTTTCCTCTGCTTGAAGGCACATTGGGCATCTAGTTGGGTGAGAAGTAAATCCCATCTTCTGTAAAACTTCTGGAAAAGCAACAAGTTGGTTAAACAACCTCCACAAAAAGAAAGAGATTTTTATGGGGATTAATTTATTCCAAAAACATTTCATAATGGGGATTTCAGTTTTCCTCTCCCTGATTTCCATGTAAGCTATTGCTAGGGTGAAATCCCCCACCACTGATGGCTTCCATATGTGTCGATCCTCCTCCTGAGAAAAATTAATATCCATTCCTTCCAGAATTTGCAAAACCTGTGGCTGCAAAAAATCATTGAGTTCTTGCAGATAAAAAATTTTGTTAAGGAAAAATTCTTTAACCTGCAAGTCCTTGAATGGCGGGTCACTTAGCCAATTCAGGGACCATAGAGGCCCTTGATTTAGCCATCCATCATACCAAAAAGAAACCTCCCCTTTTCCAAGCAAAATTTTTGACTTCTCCTTCGTGAAATGATGAAACTTTAGAACCCTGTTCCAGCTTGTCTTTTGTCTTGAAGTATTTGATACAGACTTTACAAATCTCACCCAAATGCCTTTGTTACATTTCCATTTCCACCAAAGCTTAAGCGAGAAAGCATCAACATTATCTTGAAATTTTCGCAATCCGAGTCCATTTTCAGCTGTGGGGAAGGTGAGTTTTCTCCAAGCTTTCCAATGCCTATGCGCAACATCTTCTTTCTTCCCCCAAAGAAAATTCTGGCATCTTTTTTCTAGAGCTTCTATGATCATTTTTGGTGGCTCAATTGCTGAGAAAGTATGCATAGGTATCGCAGATAAAACATGTCTGATCAGAAGCAGCCTTCCTCCGGCAGACAATATTTTATTTCTCCAATTTGAAAGTTTGGCATCCACATTGTCAAGTAGATGCTGAAAATAATTAGCCTTTTTCCGTCCCTGAAAGAGATGGCAGCCCAAGTATGCAAAAGGAAATTGCCCTCTCGGCATTTGAAGAATTCTATTAACCATATCAATATGCTGCGGAGAGCTTTTTTTTTGAAGCTAGAAAAAAACTCTTTTGCTTGTTGATTTTCTGATCTGAGGCTTCTTCATATTCTTGGAAAAAGATGTTCAATTGTTCCATTGATTTTTTGAGACCCTTCGTGAAAATGATTAGATCATCGGCAAAACATAGATGTGACACCTCAAAGGATCTGGATGGAATGCTATAAGTTGCAATGCGACCACTTTCCATAAGCGCGTTAAGCCGTCTAGTCAATGCTTCCGATAGCAAAATGAAGAGGTATGGAGAAAGAGGGTCTCCTTGTTTTATACCTCTTGAAGCTTTAAAGAACCCTGCTGGACTTCCATTCAGTAAGATCGAGAACCAACTATCCCTAAGATTATTCATTATCGGTGATACAAATCTATCACAAAACCCGAATTTCTCCATAACCCTTCGCAGGAATCTCCATGAAACGCGATCGAACGCCTTCATCATATCAAGCTTGAGAATCAAATTTCCCCCTCTTGTCTTGTTATTCAGGAATTGACAGAGATCTTGTGTTGAGAGAACGTTATCTATTATATCTCTGCCTTGTAAAAAAGTTGACTGCTCCTCAGATATTATACGAGGCAATACCTTCTTAAGCCATTCAGTCAAAATCTTTGTAAAAACTTTATTAACAAAGTTGCAAAGACTTATTGGCCGAAAGTCTGCAAAAGATATGCTTGAAGCCTTTTTGGGGATCAAAGTGATAGCTGTGGTTGCAATCGCTCGAGGAATAGGAACCCCTGCCATAAACTCCTGACAAGCTAACAACAAATCAGAACTTATTATATTCCAACAATGCCGATAAAATTCACCTCCAAAGCCATCAATTCCTGGGGCACTACTTGGATCCAAACTAAAAACCGCATTCTTCATTTCCTCCATCGAATTGGTTGCATTAAAGATCCATTTTCTTCCGAGGTGATAGTATTAGGAATGCAATTTAGCATTTTTGATGTAGCTTCTTCTTGATCATTTTCTAGCTCCTTCGTAAGAAGCGTTTGAAAAAAATGGACTGCTTCATTTTCGATCTCTTCTCTATCTGAAAGCCAATTGCCATTGCGTCCTTTAATTTTATGAATGCCTAGTCTCGCCCTTTTCTCCATCAACGAAGCGTGAAAGAAAGCCATATTTGCGTCCCCCTCCTTCATCCATTTCAGCTTTCCTTTTTGTCTCAAGAAATCATCATGCTCCCGAAGCTTGTGGAATAAATCTGCTTGAGCTTTATTAAGAGAAATTCGGTCAATTGTTGAACCTGAAGCATCATATATTTCCTCTTTTAGTTGGACTTCAACTTCCGCTGCCCATAAATTTTCAAATACATCACCAAATTCAGGCTTATTCCATTCCTTCAGATGAGCCTTTAACCGGCGCAATTTTGCCAAGAAAGCATACATACCATAGCCTTGTACAGGTTGATCCCAATTCTGTTTCACCATGCTTAGAAAAGATTGCCTCCGGAGCCACATTTTCTGAAATCGAAAGAGCCTTGGCCTTGATTCCATGGTGTGATTAAATTGATGAAGCAAAGGGGAGTGATCCGAGGACGCCCTATTGAGATGCTGCACCATGGAAATTGGAAAGAGTGAAAGCCATTCCTCCGTGTGCAAGATTCTATCCAATTTTTTTAACACCCGGCCATTTTGACGATTTTCCACCCAAGTATAATCACTTCCAATTGTTTGAATCTCTACCAAGTCACAAGAATTTATCCATTGATTGAAATCTTCAATAGAGGCTCGATCCGGCTGAGAATTTCCAGAGTATTCATCAAGATTACGAATGACATTGAAGTCACCACCCACCATCCAAGGATCTCCTAAGTGCTGATTCCGAAATTGTGTAAGCTCTTTCCATAGCTTATTTCGGCCTTGTCTTGTAGATTTTGCATAGACCGCAGTGATGAGGAATTGCGTCGATGATTGCAAATGTTTAACATCAAGATGCAAGGCTTGCTCAGAATCTCCCAGCGGCGAAACATCAAAATCATTAGTCCAAAAAGATCCAAGTTTTTCCTGTGATTGAAGAAATTGCTTTATCAAAGTGTAAACTTTGCTTCAATTCCTCCAATTTATTCACCTGCAACATAGGCTCAAGAAGAACAATAAAAGAAATAGAATGCATAGATTTTAAATTTTTCAGTCTACGTTGTTATGCCTTGTTTCCTATACCTCTTACATTCCATATTAATTGATTTATCATTTTAACCATTGGGAGGAATATCACCTTGGAGTCTCGCCGAACGACGAGTTTTACCTTCGTTCCCGTTATTGTCTACCCCATTTTTGGATCCTTTTGGACGTCCACGCTTTTTCTTCCTTTGTTCTCCATCCGAAACAGAAACGAAAGCTTCCTTAGTATGGACGAGGTCTGAACTACCTCCAATTTCTAAATCATCCACAGAGACCAAAATCTGATCGTGGGTAAAAGAAGGAGGCTGTTCATGAGATTTTTCCATTTTCATGCCTTCGTCACTTTCAACCTCAGAATCAATGTCCTCCTGTAATTTATCATCTCCTTCCGTGTCCCCATTTATTGGATTGTCCAAATCAGCCAAGACTTCAAACCGAGAAGACGTTTCAATTTGTTGATCAAAAACAGCGCGCTGTGCCGAGACAGCACGCTGTGAAGAAACAGCTCGCTGTTTCTCTGCGTTTTACTCATCCACCTGTAAATTTTTCAATTCCACAATGTCCCAAGAATCCAAGAGTGATGGTTCTTTATCATTTTCTTGTATAATTGATACCAACCTTTCCTTCGTCATTTTTCTTTTCCGGGATGATTGAATGTGGATCAACGGACTTTGCTCCATTACATCAACTGGGATACTTTGTTTTTCTTCATGGGATAAGCCAGAGGTGGATGGACCATGATGATCTTGTGTTTTCTCCAACTCGTCTTCTTGCTGGTTCGAGGTCTTAGCCTTCCATACATGTTTCGTCTGCTTTGGTGCTTCCTTTGGCATGATTTGAACCTTTTTAGTAGCTGTTGTTACCACCAATTTTTTCGAGTTTGCTGTCTGTTTTTGATTCCCTGTTTCTGTGGAATCATCAACCTTGCTTTTCCATTCTTTTGTGTGCTTACAGTTCTTCACCGAGAGTCCAATTTTGTTGCATTCCGTGCAATACTCTGGAAGATTCTCATACATAATCGCCTGGAAGTATGTATTTCCTTCAACTCCGAGACGAATTCATTTCAGCAAGTCTTTCAAAAGATCCACTTCCACGCACACTCTTGCAACCGAAGGTCTTGACATGTTCAAAGTGGGAACATCAATTTTTAAAGGTTTCCCAATTATGCCGGCTAACTTGCGCAGATATTCTTCATTAAATCGGTGCACCGGCATACCCTCAAAAGAAACCCAAACTGGCACAATTGAGGATTCAAAATTTGGATTGAAACTGGTTGTCCATTTCAGTACTCGCATCACATGATTATCAAAATTCCACCAACCCTTCATCCAACATCTTTGGTAATCTTCTTCGAGTTCAAAATATATTAAGACATGAAGATAATCAATCATACCGATGGAAAAATTACCTTTGAAGCCAATTGTTTGAAATTCTTTCTATAGAAAGTCCATTCTCGGTCTGCCCTTGGAAAATTTTCCGACCAGTGCCAGACGAAAGGGAATTGCTAACCTGTCATCTTCTTCTTTGGAGAGGATAAACGACGGCTCCCCTTTGTAGACTGTTGGTTCAGACAGTATTGTTGGGGTTGACGGAACTAGGGTTTCCACAGACGAACTAAGAAGTCTGGGATTTGTTTGAGGCCTTTTGTAATCTGAGCATAAGATCTAATTGGGTTGAGGCCTTGATTGGCTTTTGTTTGGAGCGGCCGGTCTTCGGCCATCAAGGCCGGCGGCTATGAAGTTTGCCGTGGTAGGGTTTTGATTTTTAGAGAGAAGTTGGAGAGAAAATTTTTACAAACAAGCTGGACGACTTAAAAAACTCCAAGAGAGTCTTATGTCTTTATTGAAACTGTAGCAACACTCATGTCATATAAACCTTTTTTCAACGGTTCATTTATAATTTGTTGAATTTTTTGTTTACTACATGGAGGAGCACCTGCGGAAATTAGAACCTGGTTCCATCCCCAATTGTGTTGTAATATCTATTTGTGTATGTTTTTCACGTCCATCGGACGGGTCTAACACCTAGTATAAAACCTTTTCAAAAGATAGATCTCTCCTAATAATTATCACATTTGTAAATCCAATGCACATGAAATAAAATGAAAAAAAAAGTTTCTATTCTGACTTTGATTCAAGCTACAGTACATTACCACCTCTGAAACTAAAAGAATCATAAAATTTCTATTTTGCTTGATTTTAGTTTTGACACTGTTTTCAACTCTTATTTAAGCATTCCCTTCACTTGGCAGACTCAATAAGTGTCTTAATGCTCCAAAGTTTATCTTTTAAAACAATTAATTTTTTTATTTTTCAAAAAAAAAGAAAAGAAAAATAAAAAGACTACGTCACGATTGACTAGAAAAAGAAATATATGAAAAAAAGTTTCGTGTTAGTTTTATGACTCATCCATGTAGTCAAACAAAAGTATATCGGAAAGGGAGGAAACCTTCGTTTCCATTTTCTTCTTATTTTTCTTTTAGTTTTCTTTATATCTTTTTTTTCATTGGGATAAAAGATTTACAATAAAACTTTTACCATTCAAATAAGATATTAAGTCTCCGATATTAATGCGCTACATAGCATATATTAAAATATAATCCAATATTTGAAATTTGACTGTAGATTTATAATAGGAAAAAAAAGATCTAAAGAAGAGTAAAAAGAATGTTGGAGATTAATTATAGAAAAAGTACCAAAGGAGAATTGAAATACCATATGGGCGAGGAAACTATGTATAAATACAACGGACTAGACGAAACATTGATCATCCTTCACCGAGCGTGTAAAATTACTAAAAACAAAACCCTCGTTCTTGTATTTGTTACGCAAAGATTCCTTAGGAGGAAAAAAAAGAAAAAAATTAATGATGTATCTTCTTATGAATCCCCTTAAGGTGGAGGCTCTTTTCATTGTGATGATTATCATCTCACCATCAATAACATTTGCAGCAAAACACATTCCAAAAGGAGAAAAACAAAAATCACATCAGAATGAATTATTCGAAGCTGTGAATGAGTTTTGTGATACAACTCACCTCATTAACCTAGAAACATGCCAAAAGACCCTAAGATCAGATCCCAGAAGTGCCTCAGCAAAAGACCAAGGCACTCTTACCACAATTTCAATTGATTTGGCACTTGCAGAGACAACAAAAACCAGAGATTATTTAGTCTCCATTTTACCTAAGATTCCCAGCAACGACGTAGAATTACAATCGGCCCTCAAGGATTGCATTTCTGCTTATCAATCCGGAGTCGGAAGCCTAGCGATGTTACCCCAATCGTACCAGGAAGATCGTCTTTCAGCAAGCTACGATATGTCTATGGCCTATCAAACCTTTCAGGGATGTGAAAACTCTTTGAATTCCCACAAAATTGTCGATCCTTCAATTTTGGATGCACACCGGAATGCTTATGTGTTTGTTAACCTCACTATGGAACTTCAGGAATAAAGTACCAAGTAAGGTACAAATGGTTATCCCCGCCTTATGAGATTAGAAAAAAAATGTTGAAATAATTTAGAGTCAAATCATCAACACTATATTTTACTACCATTAGTGTCACTTGCTCTTTCCATTGTAAATAAAGGGGGGAATGACAGTCTACATCATTGTATTGGTTTAATGAAATACTATAGGCTATTTTACTAATGATTTGGGAAGGCCATTTATCATTCAGATGAAATGGACATAATCCTTGTATAAGAAACTATTCGGTATGTTTGAAATATTTTACGCGTGTTTAGATCAACATATATGATTTACTCTGTTCAAATTTCGCGATAAATTATGTGGTAATTTTAACAACTGGTTTATGGCTATGAACCGTCAATGATCTATCAATAGGGTTAAGTCGTGGTTAAAACACAATTTAATTCGTGTTTATTTTTCACGTAACATGTTTATTTAATATCTTAGATTTTAATTTTTTCATTTTACTAAAAAAAATAATATCATTTTTCAAACAATGAAAAATTAAAGTCCAAAATCATATGGAAAAAAGAAGTGATAACTTTTTTCTCGGGTAAAACATCTCACTTTGTAATCGTTTAGTCGGGAGATGGAAAATTAACCCCAAATTCAGAAAATAATTGACAACACATTATTTGTTACTCTTTGTCTTCTTCTTCTTCTTCTTCTTTTTTTTTTTTGTGGTTACAGTAGAAGAACCTCATGCCTTGCAACTAAGTTGCTACATTGTAAGAATATGCTATCTAAGTTACATCATGTTCAAGCCATGATCTAACTCCTAGGAGATATATTGTTACTCTATGTGAATGAAATTCTGAATTTGGATTAATTTTATATTTTGTTTTATATTTTGCAATGAAGTCATTATACATTTTATAAAAATATAAAATTTATAAAATTATTAATATTTTTTTACTTTGCTTGTATTCAGGGATGGACTTACTGAGGGGCTTGGATCCAAAAAAAAAAAAAAAAGAAATTACCACCAGCAGTTAATAAATTTTCCATTTTTAAACAAAGCACCTCTAGTAAATTGTTTTTGTTTTTTTTATGTTTAAAACTTTTCTCTACTTACAACTTTTGACTAAGTATAAGTGGCCTACATCAATTCTAATTCCTCATTTTATTACAGTTTTAAATACTTCAAAAAGGCAAGTCATTAGAATTTTCTAAACTCAAAGCACGGCAAAAACAAACTGAGGAAAAAAAACCCTTAACCGTGCGCCTCCTTAAACTCAAAGGGTCAAAAAAAAAATCGATATCAAGAATCAAGATTCAAGTTCTATTTTCAAAATTAATGATTCAGGATTCAATTCAAGTAAACTAATAATTTTGAATCTTGTCTCTTTCATTAATTTATTATCATGGGTTTTTTTTCCGGAAACGTTAGTTTGGTTTTTCTTCGGAATTACGATAACCAAATTGAATTTCAATTGAGGAATAATATTGATACATAGTGCCTAGGATTCTTACTGAACCCGTAATTATTCTTTTTTTTTTTGTGGGAAATTAAGTTGATTCGTTGATAAACTACATAGTCTTTTTCATTAGTTGTTAGCATTTTCTGTGAATTGTTGTAAATTGTTTTAATGTTAGTGATCTCTTTATCATTTTCTTTGATGTTATATTTAATTTCTTTTAGTTTAATTTAGTTGTTTGTCTATTGTTTAGGGATTTTATTATGTCCATGAGAATGTTGACCGATTTATGGAAGAAGAAAACCGATGCAAAATATAAAGAGTCACCATCAGCTGAAAATACGAATGAAAATGAAGTAAATAACGGTAAAGAACCATGATTATAAGTAGAATTATCAAATAGTGACATTATTGATGATCCTAGATTGCGTAAACTAGTTGGAAACTATCCCTTTGAAATTAAAAATGAACTGAGAAAAAGGTATATTGCAAGATACCCAACTCAACCACTTAATACCAATTTCCCACAGACTGATTTTAGTGGAAAAAAATCGGTCATTTCAAAAAACATGGTTTAAGAAATATAATTGGTTGGAATATAGTGATGATTTGGATGCCGCATTTTGTTTCCCATGCTATTTGTTTGCTGATGGTTTAGGTAGCAAGAATGGTTATGATGTTTTTATGGAGATTGGGTTTAGAAATTGGAAAATTGCTTTAGCAAAATTTAATGATCATGTGGGAGGTATACAAAGTGTTCATAATGGGGCTGTCACAAAGTTCAATGGATTTCAAAAGCAAAAGGAAAATGTAGGTTCTATGCTTGTCTGAAAGACCAAAGAAGAGGAAGTTGATTATCGAATTCGATTAACAGCTGTTGTGAACGTGATTCGGTTAATGTTAAGGTAGGGTTTTGCTTTTCATGGGCACGATAAGTTAGCTGATTCGATGCAAAAAGGTACTTTTCTTGAAATTATGGACTGGTTTGTTGAGGTTAATGAAGAAGTTAAAAGAGTTATCAACAATGCTCCGGGGAATACTAAATTATCTTCTCCAAAAATTCAAAAAGACATCATCAATGCTTGTGCCACCAAGGTGAGAAAAGTTATTGTTGATGAGATTGGAGATAAAAAAAAAATTTTCTCTTTTAGTTGATGAATCTCGAGATACCGAAATTTCAGCCACCCCTGCTGATCAATGAGAGCAATGCTGCCACTTCTGGAAGAAGAGAAGAAGAACAGCCAAGTTTGCATTCCAGGCACAAGGCATTGGGAGGATTAAACAAATTACAAGCATGAGGAGACTCTCATGATGAAAGAACCGGCTGCAAGGCCCTATAAAAGGGGGGACTTCACTCTCAGAAAGGAAAAAAAATCTTTGGCCATCCTTTCAGTTGCCAAAAACACACAGAAAAACTTCAGGTAGAAGGCAAGAAGGAAGAAGAAACAACAACAACTCAGTAAGGAAGCCAAGTTGGAGAGTAGCCATCCCAGTTTCTGCTTCAGTTCCATGAGTGAACCCTTTCACTCCCAGGAGTGACTCAGAAACTGCACAAGTTTTTTTCTCGTCTCTTGACTGTTAGCATGAACTTTGTTTATTATGCATTAATCTGTATGAGTAGCTAAGCAGTTTCCAGGGGTTATTCTCCTCAACCTATGTTGTAGTTGTTTAATGCACTGGTTTTGTTCCTTGCTTTGAAGTTGAAAGTTTTTCTACATTCATTTACTTGATCACTAAATTGAATGCATGCTAGAACTAAGGGAGATCTGGAAAGATAAACTTGGTTTGGATTGTTTCAACTTTAACTTATGACATAGAGGTAACAGTCTATGGTTTTAACTAAGATAGGAATATATTTAGTTAACATAAGCATTCTTGAAGGCCTAAGAACTTAATAACTTTGTATTTGGAATCAATCATTGGGAAATAGATTGTTAAGGGTGCAAAGATGACTCTAGGAAAAATGGGAGCTGACTTAGAGTTATAAGTGAGCTGAATGAACAAGAACTCAACCGTTACAGTGCTAATAAAACAACTACAACAGTAGGAAGAGGAGAAGAACACCCCTGGCTTTCATTCCCCTGAGTGACTGTTTCCATTCCCCTGAGTGACACCTTGTCTGACTGGTGGTCTTTTTTTTACAACAATTTTGGTAATTAGCTGTCCTCGTGGGATCGACCTAGCTTCCATTATCTACAAAATTCATAATCTAAGCTAGTAATATTTTTGGTGAACTCGGCACACATCATTTGGCACGAGGCAATCATAAGGGCCTAAGATCTTCATGGCTTAATAGTAATTTCGAGTCGACAACGGAAGTTAGTTTACTGGTTACTATTAGGACTGCTGTCTGGAACAATCGGAAGTGAGCTTACAGTGTTTATGTGTCTGATTGAATACAGTTTCATACCACATAGAGAACTAAAAGAATCAATACACATATACATATAGAGTAGAGTGGAGGACGACACTAGGCTACCATCACTTTTCCAAGTTATTTACTCACTTGTCAATTTGCTATTTTTGCTTTTGTCTTGTGTTCTGGTATTAGATCCCAATATTCATTAAGTGTTTCCCGTCTCTGTGGGATCGACCCTTCTTATCACTAGTTACAAGTTTTAAGTAGGTTTATTTTGGTGGTCTTGATACCCATCAAGTGGTTTTTTTTATTATGTTGCTATGATTGTAAATATGGTTGCAGCTTCATGCAAAAGTAAGGATGCTCTCTTGCAGAAACATTATGATGATCTTCTGGAGTAGATAAAAAGTGGCGAAATAGTTACAGTAAAGGGAAAGAATCAAGTAACAAGTTTAGCTCATCATGGTAATACTCGATAGGGTTCTCACTTTAAAACAATCAGTCGTCTTTTGCATATGCGAGATGCAGTAAAATATATGCATGAAACTATATATAGCGATGCAATTGAAAGGAAAAATAAGGACACTGCTGCGGGTTTGTTAAACAAATGGTGAGTTTTGTATTTGTGTTTATTGCTCACTTGATGGTGACATTATTGGAAAAAACATATACAGTGTCAGAGGCCCTACAACAGAAGAATCAGAATATAGTTCATGCTTTGTCCTTACTTAGAAGGGTGAATGACGACTGAAAAAATGCAGAGATGGTGATGATAGCTGGAAGGAATTGTTGGAAGTTACATCTACTTTTTGCTCTAAACATAATATTTTTGTGCCTAAGATGGAAGATGCTATGCCTAGTCGAGTTACATTTGAAAGGTCAGTCGATGGCGCACCAATGAATTATTTGCATTACTTTCGACGGGACATTTTCTTCGAGGTAATTATTCTTTCTCTTCCATGTTTGAAAATATTTAGTTATTTATTTAAATATGAATATATTTTCATTTGCTATTGCTAGGTGCTTGACCTTATTGTCAAAGAAATGAATCATCGTTTTGCAGAGTCGAACTCAGAGCTACTGATGTGCTAAAATGACTTGATCCCAGTGATTCTTTTGCTAGTTTTGATCTCAATAAGTTGCTTCATCTTGCTGAATATATATCTAAATGATTTTGCTAGTAGTGATGAATCGGCACTAAGCAACAAACTTAAACAGTACATTGATACCATGAAATCAACTGAAGATGGTACAAAAATTCGCTAACCTTGATGATATTGGAGATCTTGCAAAGAAGATGGTTTGGATTAAGTATTACACTGTTTATCTTTTAGTTTATCGGCTTATTGAGTTGGCATTAGTTTTGCCCATCACGACAATTTCTATTGAAAGATCTTTCTCCGCGATGAAAATTACCAAGAATGATTTACATAATAAGATGGGAGATGAGCTTTTGACGGATTCCATGATTTTTAATATTGAAAAACAAATTTTTCGAAGTATTGAAATGGGGCTATCTTGTAGAGGTTTCAAAAAATGGCCCATCGACGATTATGTTTACCCCTTATCAATTAATGTTGCACTTTTTTAGTAGCCTAGTTAGAAAAATACATTTTAAGTATTACTCATGTCTTTATTGAAACCGTAGTAATACTCATGTCATAAAAACCTTTTTCAACGGTTCATTTTTAATTTGTTGAATTTTTTGTTTACCAAATGGTGGAGCACCTACAGAAATTAGAACCTGGTTTCGTCCCTGCTTGTGTTGTAACGTCTATATGTGTATGTTCTTCCCGTCCATCGGACAGGTCTAACACCTAGTATAAATCCTTTTCAAAAGATAAATCTCTCCTAATAATTATCAAATTTGTGAATCCAATGCACATTAAATAAAATGAAAAAAAAAAGTTTATATTCTGACTTTGATGCAAGCTACAGTACATTACCACCTATGAAAGTAAAAGAATCATAAAATTTCTATTTTGCTTGATTTTAGTTTTGACATTGTTTTCAACTCTTATTTTAGCGTTTCCTTCACTTGGCCGACTCAATAAGTGTCTTAATGCTCTAAAGTTTATTTTTTAAGAGAATTAATTTTTTTTTATTTTTCAAAAAAAAAAGGAAAATTAAAAGACTATATCATAATTGACTAGCAAAAAGAAATATAAGAAAAACAGTTTCGTGGTAGTTTAATGACTCATCCATGTAGTCAAACAACAGTACATCAAAAAGGGTGGAAACCTTTGTGTCCTTTTTCTTCTTATTCTTTTAGTTTTCTTTATATCTTTTTTTTGTGGGGATAAAAGATTTATAATAAAACTTTCACCATTCACATAAGATATTCTTTCTTCAATATCAATGCACTACGTAGCATGTATAAGAATATAATTAATATTTGAGATTTGACTGTAGATTTATATAGAAAAAAAAATCTAAAGAAGAGTAAAAAGAATGTTGGAGATTAATTATACAAAAAGTACCAAAGGAGAATTGAAATACCATATGGGCGAGGAAACTATGTATGAATACAACGGACTAGATGAAACCTTAATCACCCTTCACTGAGCGTGTAAAATTACCAAAAACAAAACCCTCGTTCTCGTATTTGTTACGCAAAGATTCCTCGGGAGGAAAAAAAATTTATGATGTATCTTCTTATGAATTCCCTTAAGGTGGAAGCTCTTTTCATTGTGATGATCATCATCTCACCATCAATAACATTTGCAGCAAAACACATTCCAAAAGGAGAAAAACAAAAATCACATAAGAATGAATTATTCGAAAATGTGAATGAGTTTTGTGATACAACTCACCTCATTAACCCAGAAACATGCCAAAGGACCCTAGGATCAGACCCCAGAAGTGCTTCAGCAAAAGACAAAGGCACTCTTACCACAATTTCAATTGATTTGGCACTTGCAGAGACCATAAAAACCAGAGATTATTTAGTCTCCATTTTAGCTAAGATTCCCAGCAACGACGTAGAATTACAATCGGCCCTCAAGGATTGCATTTCTGCTTATCAATCCGGAGTTGGAAGCCTAACGATGTTACCCCAATCGTACCAGGAAGATCGTCTTTCAACAAGCTACGATATGTCTATGGCCTATCAAACCTTTCAGGGATGCGAAAACTCTTTGAATTCCCACAAAATTGTCGATCCTTCAATTTTGGATGCACACCAGAATCCTTTTGCGTTTGTTAACCTCACTATGGAACTTCAGAACTAAAGTACCAAGTAAGGTATAAATGGTTATCCCCGCCTGATGAGACTAGAAAAAAATGTTGAAATAATTTTGAGTCAAAACATTAGCACTATATTTTACTACCGTTAGTGTCACTTGCTCTTTCCAGTGTAGATAAAGGGGGGAAAGACAGTCTACTTCATTGTATTGGTTTAATGAAATACTATAGATTATTTTACCAATGATTTGAGAAGGCCATTTAACATTCATATGAAATGGACATAATCCTTGTATAAAAAACTATTCCGGTATGTTTGAAATGTTTTACGCGTGTTTAGATCAACATTTATAATTTGTTTAGTTCGAATTTCCCGATAAATTATGTGGTAGTTTTAACAACAACTGGTTCATGGCTATGAACCGTCAATGATCTATCAATAGGGTTAAGTCGTTGTTGAAGCACAATATAATTCGTGTTTATTTTTCACGTAATATGTTTATTTAATATATTAGATTTTAATTCTTTCATTTTACTCAAAACAATATAATATCATTTTTCAAACAATGAAAAATTAAAGTCCAAAATCATATGGAAAAAAGAAGTGATAACTTTTTTCTCGGGTAAATTAACCCCAAATTCAGAAAATAATTGACAACACATTATTTGTTACTTTTTTTTGTTGGGGGGGGGGGGTGTGGCCACTGTAGAAGACTCTCGTGCCTTGCAATTGAGTTGCTACATTCTGAATTTGGATTAATTTTAGACATTTTACATGATACTAGGTATGGCGACCGCACAAGTGTGGTCTAACCCAGAGTATTTTAAGACCTATGATTAAAAAAGGATGAATTTAGTTGATTAGTTATATAGTCACTGATGATGGCTTTTGCGGTTAATTTATTTTCCTTTTAAATTGTTAATTTGTACAAGGAAACCATGCTTATGGTTTCTCTGATTTGTGCAACATGTGCCCAGGATAGAGTTCACCCGAGACAATAGAATGTTGTGGGGTACTGGCGTGTGCTGCAGAGATGCATAATAATAGGTAGTATGTACACGTACACGATGAAGCCTGTTATACAAAAGTTAATTGTTGAAAGCATTGGGGTGATGCATTAGTAAGAAAGGTTGGTGGTTCGGCCAAAGTGGTCTTCCTAAGCAATGAACATTATAGCTCACAAAATCCTTTTTCCCTTAGGGCGATAAAACGTCTTCCGATCAATTTCGTTCACCCTCCTGTTTCTTTCTCAATATTTTGCTTTCAAAACAGAATCCAAGAATATGAATTTGGGACAGAATACTTCTCTTAAGTTGCTTTAGTGGATGATTAAGCTAGTAGGTTGTTCGTTCCCCCAAGGCTCAAACTGTTCTTCAAGATTCAAATATCAGAGGTAGTTTGACATGATTAGGATGAATAGTGATTGAGGAGTGGAAAGAAAGTTGGAAGGAAAAGGTCGGTGAACTCTGCAATGATTTATTGATTTTATACATGTAATGATTTTAATTATTTGTCAAGTTAGGATCCTTTTTAGTGGAAAAAGTAAAACAAACAAGAGATAACCTGACACTCATAAATTTTGTACATAATACTATACTAGATGCTTGGCCCGGACAGATGTCCGAGCGCCCCCTCTAAATTACTATTTTATTAAAATCTAATTGAATTACTATTTTTTGAGGAATTAATTTAGCGTATATATCATTTATGCTATGGTTTGGGGCTTAAAAAAATATACCTATAAATATGAGGTTATAAGGGAATAATAAATAATTAATTTATAAGGCATTATTCTTAATTGCTTAATTTAGGTATTTTTATTTTTTGTTTATATTAAGCCTGCAAAACTATACGATTGGACATTTGAATTTGAATTAATATATCCATTCGTTTGAAATGTAACTGATCCTTATTTGTAGTAAAACATGTTTTTTTTTAAAAAAAAAAATTATATAGCTTCTAATTAAAAGAGACTTACACGTGGCAAAAAGACTTCTGAAATCTGAAATATGGTGCATTGGAGCCAAAACAGATGCATACGTAGTTGCCACATAAGCTTCATGTCTTCTGCTTTAATAGGGTAAAAGGGATATGGTAATAAAATATTTTTTGTAATGTAATTTTGTGGTAACTAGTCTTGTACTCCTGGAAAAGAAACGCTAAAACGAGCAGCAACATGTAGACATTATATTACAATTTCTTTATTTAAAGCGAATTAACAAAATTGCGTTTGTAGTCCAACGGTTAGGATAATTGCCTTCCAAGCAATAGACCCGGGTTCGACTCCCGGCAAACGCATTTTTGTTTAAAATAGTTTTTGGGTATTCATGTGAATAAAAAATAAAATCAAAATGGTGGCTGTGGGGTTCGAACCCACGCGCACTTATGTGCAGAAGATCTTAAGTCTTCCCCCTTAACCACTCGGGCAAACCACCAATTTGATAATATTTTGTTCAAAATCAATTTTTATCCAGAAAGTTGTTAATTATTTTGTTCGAACTCAATTTTTTATCCTAAGTCTAAACACATGGTCGGTCACCCCGAAACCTCTAGAAGGTTACAAAAGTGGAATTCCATTTTTCTATAAACTCTAACAATACCGCCTAATGCATTTTTTAGAAAGGGGGAAAAACTCAGAGCAAGTAACCCTAGAACCCCAAAATTAATCTCTGCAGAGCAGAATAAATACAATTAGAGCTTGATTTTTTCTTAGTTTGGGAGGATTGATTGCGAAGACCAATGGCGGAACACTTGGCGTCGATTTTTGGGACGGAGAAAGACAGGGTGAACTGCCCGTTTTATTTCAAGATCGGAGCTTGTCGCCACGGTGACCGGTGCTCTCGTCTCCACACCAAGCCTAGCATCAGCCCTACTCTGCTTCTCTCAAACATGTATCAGAGGCCTGATATGATTACTCCGGGAGTCGATGCTCAGGGGCAGCCGATTGATCCGCAGAAGATGCAGGAACACTTTGAGGTTCGATCAACTCTTCTGGCCTTAGTTTTCTCTTTTGATTTTTGTTGGTTATATAGGTGGATGGAACTCAAATTTATTGTCTTTACTCTTTAGTCATTAGTTTTGAACAAAGGCTTTGATTTTTCTTTTTCTTTTTGGCTGTGGCTCGGCTGCTCTGGATGATGTGCCTTTGGTTATGATCTTTTTGTTCAGTGAAACCTTACTGGCTGGCTTTTGTATGAACTGCTATTAGGTGATTTTACTAGGTTAATGGATACTAAAATTACATTAAAACGTGTCACTTTCAATGTGAAAATTCCGATCTATGCTGTCTTAGGCTTGTAGTTTTCTGGGTATGTTGATGCATTCTGTTGCATATGAGATTGGGAACTGTTGGGTTTTGTATGCAAGTGTTCAGTACACCATATTTCCATGGATATTTGTGTGGGTGATGAATTGACAGACACTGTACAAGTGTGGTTTGAAAGATATCGAATTAGTTGTGTATTATCACATTGTGGACATCGACGCTATACTTTTTCTACTTTCTGTAGGGTAACTGTAGATTTTGTATGTCACTCTTGATGTATTTTGAGCTTGAGGGTTGACTACGAATTTCCTCTTAATAGGTGCAGTCAAAATCTGTTGTTGAGTGGTTACTTTTTAGGATTTTGCTTTGGATGTTTTATGCATTCTATATGCTTCTGAAGCATGAATTAATATTGGATATGTTTTAATCTTTTTATCCTCTTCCACACAAGCTAAAAGATATCGTTTTCCCCCTCTAGTTAGATTCCTCCTTGTCTGTCTGTGCTGACTGGAGATTTGACATCGTTGTTGATTTTGTAGGATTTTTATGAAGATCTTTTTGAGGAGCTGAGTAAGTATGGTGAGATTGAGAGCTTGAATATCTGCGACAATCTGGCTGACCACATGGTATGCCTCTCATCTTAATTTAAAATTTTATTGGGTTATTGGTTTGCAAACTTATTGGTTATATATAATGTGCGTGTATTTGGCAGGTGGGAAATGTGTATGTGCAGTTTAGAGAAGAAGAGCAGGCAGCAAATGCCCTGAAAAATCTCACTGGGAGGTTCTATGCTGGTAAGAGTTTCCTCTTTTTCTTACTGGTTCTATGCCCCCCCACAAAAAAAAAAAACACACTCTGGAAGGGAGAAGGCTTAATAGGCTGACATTATAAGGAACATATATTTAAGTGATTTTTTCTATTGCGGTTGTGCTTTTTTTCTGACTGCAGAATGATTAATTACTGCAGGTCGGCCAATCATTGTCGATTTTTCTCCTGTTACGGACTTCCGTGAAGCTACCTGTAGGCAGTACGAAGAGAATACCTGTAATCGTGGTGGATACTGCAATTTTATGCACCTTAAGAGGATTGGCAGGTATTATTTCTGCTGTCACATCATTAGGCGTCCTCCATGGAAAAAAAATATTTCTATTTGTATTCAGTTATTTTTTTGGAACCAAAACTGATCTTCTCGTTCAATGCTTTTAACTAGGGAGCTGAGGCGCCAGTTGTTTGGGAGGTCTCGTCGAAGGCATAGTAGAAGCAGAAGCAGAAGTCCTTACAGGCACCGTAGTCATGAAGATCGTTCTCATCGTCATAGCAGAAGGCAGGATGAGAGGGATTACCACCATGACAGCCGAAGCAGGAGGCGCCGAAGTGACAGTCCTGAACGTAGGAGGGGAAGAACTCGTAGCAGGAGCCCCGCTGGCAGGAGAGATAGAAGCCCAGTTAGGGATGGAAGTGAGGAGAGACGTGCCAGAATTGAACAGTGGAACAGAGAAAGGGAGGAAGCTGAAGCAGGTAATAAGTTCCATGCTGATTCCAGAAACAAGAAGGATGAAAGGACCGATAATGGTTTCGTCCAAAATGGAGATGGTTATTATCATCAGGAGCCGGAGCAGAATGGAAATGGACATTAGACTGATTCTGGTTTGTTTCTTTTTCTCCTTGTAGCTGCATTTTCTTCGCTCAACAACTTTAGATTACCTTTTTAAATGGGCATGCCTCCTGTCCTATAAAAGTAGCTTACTGCGCATTTTGCACTGTGCAGGTGAGCAGGTTAACAGTTCTGTGATATGGCTTGTGATTTAAAAATAAAAATAAAAATAAAAACCAACCCTTTTTTGCCTGTTTGATTTTTTCTTAATGAGTGTGTGTGGGCTAGTGTTTGCATGGCATGATTGTATCCATTCAATCTTGGCTCTGACATGTTTTGTTTACTGACTAAGCGTTCACCAAATAGAAACATATTGACACCTGACTCTTGAGATGTAACTGGTTTTTGAGAAGTGTTCTCTTCACCCTCTCTTCACTTGAGAAGAATGAGTTCCTTGGAGTTGTGTGTGTGTTTAGAATGGAAATTCTAGCTGTTTTGGCCGTTCATTAGTGCAGTGGACTTACAGAAACCATTGAAAGCACAATGTAGTCTTAGGAGTACATAGGATATTTAACTGCTGGGTTGGGTACCTCGAGGTCTTTAACTGATGCCTTAAATTGCTTCGGTTGTTGCATCTTTTGTTTTTAAACAAGATAAGCAGAATCGTCGGTCTAGGCTGTAATTTTACGTTACTTTTAGGTGTTGGTGAAACTGGAAATCTATCTTGAGGATGCTTTGATTAAGATCTAGACTCATTAACCTTGGGTAGCATTCGTTGGAAGGCTTTGCGTCATTTCTAGGAATGTGAAAATTAAACATTGCATTGGGTTTCGTTTTTATTTGAATGCATGCATTGCGTGTGTGTTTGGTTTTATGTGCAGTTATCAGGTATTCATTCTATCACCGCCACAAAACCAGGCTAGTGAGCTTTTAACTTAGCACAATATCTTTTTGTTCTTTATCTGGTTTGACAAGTTCAATCTTACATATTTTATGAGTTTTGCAGGTCCAGGTTTCCCTGCTTTAACCGACCAAGAGTATATGTTGATATTTGATTAACATGAACTGTGTACAGGTTATGCCAGGTCCGAGATGATACCACAGGTTTTCTCTGACAGGGATGTACAGAGCATCACGGCCACAGATGAACAGTATCCGGAGCGTGCCTGGTGATGGTGTTGGTGTTCCTGTGCTGAAGTGTCACGAGGAAGTTCTTTGGTAGTTAAAAACATTTAAGTAGGAAGTTGTGTAGGATTGTAACTGGGCTGTTGGGATATTTTTGCAACAGGATTTCTGATTTGTCTCCTGGTTGTTGTAGAGTAACTAATGAACATGTTTGGATCAAAGCAAATTTGCCCTATTTTGACGATATTTTGACGATATGAAAATTGGTTCTGAGACTTTAAAGTTAGAAGCTGGAGTTTGAACTCTTTTAACCATTGTTTTGGCATTAAAAGATCGTTTCTTTATGGAAAAAAATAAAGTTACTTTTCAAAGATTAGGTTTGACCTTTTGCTGTGATGTCTGTTGTCACGCAAATTCCTGTTGAACAGCATAAAAGGCACATTGCTAAATGCAGAAGGGTCACTCTTTACCTCCCTTTGTCCACTTTGGATTTTATTATTTTTATTTTAATACAATTTGTACTAAAAATTAAAATTAAATACGATAATTAATTTGTGACAGGAGTATGAAAATCATGTCCATGGTGTTTGAATTACGTGCATGACTCGAATATGATTCCACACAGGTAGCAACAGACGATAATTGAACAAAAGCAAGGCAACTGCTGCTTACGGTGATCCACTTAATCAATCGTGTGGCGGTGCTTCATGTTGTTGCCCAACCAATTTTATTACTCCCTCTGTCTCATAATTGTTCAGTTTGAATTTTTATTTCTAATTCAAATTGTACTAAAAATAAAATCTCAAACTGGACAATAATTTTGGGACAGAGAGAGTACTTGGTACTGCCGCTGTTGAGAAGAAACCTTTTTCTTTTTCTGTTGAATAATTTGTGTTCTTGACATCTGTTTAGAAAACAGTTGCGTCATACTTTCGGGAGATCCACCAAGATGAACCCATTTAGAAACATACTAGTATATCAAATGAACATACTTCTAAGTTGGAAAGAGGCCAAAGATGCTCTACATGGATTTTTATTTTCTTTTTCTTTTTTGTTTAAACCACTGTGCAGATTGAAAATGCTGTTACCACTTACTAGTAGTGTTAAAAAAGACAGGTAATAATAATTTCAATTGCAAGTTGGCAACACAAAGAAGATGAACGATGCAGAGCGCAAAAAGAGAGACCGGCTTAATGCTGTGCAGCAGATCAGTCGGGATGGTTACGGCATAGGATTATATGCGACTAACTTCATTTCAGAAGATAATGGAAAATAAAAGTATGCAAAAGCAAAAGTGCCATTACTTCGCAGCTACATTTCTAGCATTCTATAAAATCATGATAGCAATCTCTCAGAATTCATAAAAGCAATCGAAATTCCCAAAGAATACAATCCTGCGCAAAATGTTCTGATAAAAGTCGTACTACTACATTCCCAATGCCTCATGTACCAAAATTGTTTCCTTTAATGGATGCTCCCGCCCGAATAGATCTATTTACGGCTATGCTTTGCCTTTGAATTTGAAGCATTGCCCTTTGCCTTTGAGTTTGGAGCATTGCCCTTTGCCTTTGAGTTTGGAGAATTGCCCTTATTTAATGGCCTGAAAAGAGGGAAAATTACGTCAGATCATGTGGCAGTATACAAGGCGAAAATTGAGAGCGATTTAAGATATAATATCTGAACTAACTTGTTCTGAGCCCTAGGTACTTGACCACCAGATTGCTTGTTTTGCCCCTTCAATTTCCCCTTAGCAGCTGGATTCTTCTCACCTGCAATGTAAATATGATCACTATCATGATACTGGCCACAACTTCAGAATTGCAACACGTAGAAGCACCGACTGGTAAGAAACATATAGTAAGTTTTGACAGTAAATCATGGAGAAAAATGTGCTGGTTAAATGTTCTTTCCAAAAATAATCTCAACTAACCAAGGTTCTCCTACTTTAAATGTACTTCAAGGAGTTGATTATCACCACAAGCAAAAATGAGCTGAAAATATGACAAAAACAATAAACAATGTAGGGAAACCCATTGCTTTAGCTACAAGATGACGCAACAAAACGACAATGGAAACCCCAGAAAACCATCAATATGCGCCCATCACACAAATGTGTGCCACACAACCTCTCTCTGTGGAATACCACGCTGCCACTTGTTTCACATGGACAAGCGCTCGGCCAAAGGCGTTGGTTCAACAAATTATAGGTAGATATCTCCAAAGTGTCTTTTCTCAAAGCAAGTATTTGGTCAGTAAACAACAAAGTACTCGGGAATAATCTAACCTGACTTATTGGTTGCAGGTAACTTTGCTTTCTTTGCAGCAGGGACGGGTGCTTTGGCAGTTTCAGCTGGCCTTTTCTGCAAATAGCTTTAAACTTTAGAAAACCGGCTAAAAAGAAGCTGAACTCTTACTAAAACAGGAACTTTGACTAATCAGCTCTAAATACCTTAATAGGTCCCAAGTCTTGGGCATTATCCTCACTACCGTCATCATCATCATCACTTTCATCGTCTTCCTCGTCGTCATCATCGGAGTCATCCTCGTCGTCATCCTCGCCGGTTATACGACCAAGCTGGAGGGAAAAGGTATGAGCAAAAGCAGAGGCAAAGCCCTAAACAGACTGACGAGAATTGTCATATCCCCCCAACGGGGGAAAAATAACAAAAACAGATTACTTAATCCGCATGAACTCGAGTACTAACAATTGACCCAATATCAGATGCTCATTAAAACTTGAACAAAAACAGGTACCTTCCCCAATGAAAATGGACCTGCCGAAATTCTGAATATTGTGTAAATATTCAAAAATATATTAAATTATGCATTGCTTCTTCATACATTTCGGTATGAACTTTTGAAGCAATAATTTATTTAGCGAGCATCCAAAGATCTTATTTTACTCAATTTCAGTACAACCAGAATCCATGATAACACATGATCCAAAACACTGTGAATGATTGATGCACAAGTAGATAAAGAAAAGGTGGTTCTTTGCAATGCACAAGAATGGGAGTTGGAAGGTATAAAACTAGAATAAAGAACACGAGTGGATGATCGAAATTCAGCAAGCATTCGCTTGCTAAAAACACAATGTTTTCATACCAGGTTTTTCAAGGCCTCAACAGACACCTCATTTCCTTCATCATCATCACTATCGTCACTAAGATCAGTGTCATCCTCATCATCATCGTCGTCGTCATCATCATCATCAGATATTGGCTCGTCTTTCTTTACCAAATCCTTAGACGATGACTTTTCTGTGGGGTTGGACTTTACAAGAGCTTCTGTTTTTGCAGCAGGCTTCTCAGGCTCAACTTTACCTGAAAAGAAACAAGTTCAAGAGGTTTTTTACCAGAGTCACTTAGATGCAACTAAATTAAAGGAGGCAGGCAATAAATCACCGTTCTGAGGAGTATCAACTTGCATAGCTTCCTCTTCGTCCTCTTCCGAGAATTCTTCACTGCCTAATGAAAGAAAGAACTCAATAAAATCAATAAAATCTCCTTACGATGGATTAATATCTGCTGGGAAAAACACCAAAAAACAGGAAAGAGAAGGGCTGAAATCAAAACATCTCAAACCATGCTGAATCCAAGTTCATGATTATGTATATGGTTGAATACAGTTAGAAAATTATTACCGAAACCAAAGTTATAAAAACATCACGGAAAACAACAATAGAACTAGTCATGGTAAAACAGTTAAGAATATTCACCTAATTCATCATCATCTTCACCTTCCTGGGCCACATATCCAAGCAAGTAGACGCTCCCTTCTTTCCAGTCATGAGACAACTCAAATTCTTTGTGTAAAACCAAATCGAACAAAACTTGGGCCCTATCCGGAAAGGAAAGAGTCCCAATGACAAAATCCTTGTTATCAATCTTCAGGCGAAGGAGAATCTTCTTCGCACTCTTTTCATTCTTCACCTCACCCACAGATGCCTACAGACACAATTGTTCCTCCATGATAAGTAAGCAACTCAACAGTAAAATAATCATATATACCTCTAGGATAATAAACTCAAAAACCAAAAGCTGACCTGGGAGATATGGATAATCTTGAAAGCATCAGGTTTAACCTTCAGTGGTTCTCCAGGCTTCAATTCAACACCTGGAAAGAAAGAAATATGCATTTAGAACGAAGTAAGTATCTCCTTTACATCAAAACCACAAACTAAATTCTCGGATATTACCAAATTTTCACTTCCTACGACAAATAAAATAAGCATCAGAAGGATTTTTGATGTTTTGTGAAAAAGGGGTTCCATAAAAAGTTGAAAATTATTTCACCCAAAAAAAAAAAATTTGAAAATTAAGACGGCCCTAATAAACATTAATTTCTACATCCAAACACAAAATAGGCACAATAATTCCAACAACAGAAATCTCCAGAACATGAGTACAAACAACAAAATAAACAACCGGAAAAAAAAAACCCCAATATTTCTCCAGCTGAATAAAAAACTAGTGTTTCGAGAATACAACAAAGAATAAAGCTTACCCCAAAACTCCATATCAGAACTTGATGAAAGCACAGAAATTTGGTGGAAGATATGGAGATGGCGGAGCTGATTGAAAGAGGCGGTATTGGGAAGAACGAGGGTTTATGGAGGGTTTGATAATTTTGCCTTTATAGTCTTAAGAGCAGTATAAACGATGCGGCGCTCCCGATAAAGGAAAAAGAAATTCAGTTACTATTGGGCCCAAAAAGCTGAACTTTCAGGCTTAAGACGTTTGAATAGGCTCATTCTTCTGTATGAAAATAGTTCTATGGGCTTTTCTCCGTTTACCCATGTAAAATTTACATGGGCTTCAATTATGTATTGAATTTGAAACACTGACGATTAACAATAATTCTGGAAATTAAGATGCCAAATACCTTCCCCATTTGATAGGGTAACAGATCTTCTTAAAATGATCCCATTAGTCTTTGAAATTGCATTAATCTATGTGAGTTTTTTATGTAAAAAAACGGCAATTACGAAACTTTACACTTGGTGGTTATGTTAATTTCAATATAATTTACGATCCTCTCAGTTATTGTAAATGAATAAATAAAAAATAGTGTAACATTTGAACATGATTACGTAGTTAGTATGTTGATAAAATTGTGTTAATCTCACTTAAAGTGTAAGCCACGTAGAAAACGAGAAGCAATAATAACTATAAGTTCTATCCTTAAAATTATTGTTCAGTTTCGATTTCATTTTCAATTTAATTTCTGCTAAAAATGAAAATCCAAAATAGACAATAATTTCAGAACGGAGGGAATATACAGTGCGGCATCTCCTGTTAGTAATTAAAGAGATCTTGTATCTTCATTTTCTATGACGATGTGTTTTGTAATGCAACAATGTTTTTCTCTAAAAGAAGTCATAAGTGCCTTGGGGGTCAACCGGTCAAATACTCAAAACCCATTGATTGTTTTCAATGAAATAAGTGGTTCAGTGATTGATATAACTAGAGTACGGCACACTTTTGTCATATTCACGATTATATATATGACTATTATTAATATACAGAATGATTATTTTGAGATGGGATTAATATTTGGTCCGAGTAGTTAGGTGAGGCGTGTAATTAGGTGTTTGTAGAATTGATCCATTTAATTCTTTATGTACGTTGTATTTAAAGGTATTTTCAAAAGAAACAATAGTTTTCCGAACACAACTTCCCCAAATGTGCCTACACGAATGAATGTTACCCCCAATGAGTTTGGCAGGTTCTTGCATATCTTGGGCAACTTAGATCTTCTCGACAGGTGGATTGGTTTGTTCTGTAATCATACATCTAAGGAAAATGATCCTTTTGCAGTTTGCGCCAGAACTCATGGACAACTCTGGACACGAGGATGATGATTTTTTTTATTTTTTACCCCAATATCTAACAACCAATTACGATACATTTTAAATGTCCGCTCTATTAGAATGGTATGATTCGATAAATTATTATTAAATTATTAAAATGTGACGGATGAAATATCGTTTATGATTTCAACTTTTGTGGTTAGGTTTCTCGCCCCTCGCCACAAATCCGCGGGAATTAAATTGAGAGTGTCAAAGATAGCTAGTTGAGTGAAGAAACCAAATTGTGATGACGAAGTCATTAATTGGGAAATTGTAGTTAGACGTGTGTGTACGAAACACAATGTGGAAGGTCAACATAGTTGCTGGTGGTGCCTTAAGGTTTGACTTGTTCCCTTAATATTTTCTTTTCATTATTAATCGATTCATGTATTACGCTGCATGCTTTATAACCTCACCAAAAGGGAATGAGACTCCCATAGTTCTATTGGTATACATTAATTCCCTCCTTGAAAAATTAAAATCAAGTTCGCTAAACTATTGTAATAATTCTGTAGTAATTAATGTGACACTTTACTTTAAAAATGAAGAGGTAGTTAAGATGCGTCGTGAAGTTTTTGAGTAAACATAAATCTAATTTTTACTGGTCGCCCTTCGTTGAAAGGTATAAAATGACCAATAAATTTTTAATTGATCAATGAAGTGCTAGAAAAATACTCCCTCTATTCCAAAATAAGTGTCGTTTTAGCAAAATAGAGAAATTTCAAAATAAGTGTCGTTCTCACATTTCAATACACTTTTTGTCAAAATTTTCCAAAATTACCCTCAAAAGAGTTGATACTATTGGTGGACAATTTTATAATGGGATTGGTTGAGAATATTCAAGTAATTTTATTACCTTATTTAAGAGTTTCTTAAACTATGTACAAAATATAGGACCATACTTATTTTGGAATGGAGAGAGTATTCCATATAATTTATAACCGGACGGTCTAATCTCATCATTGTGTAACTTATTATCTTTAGTAGTAGTATAAAAAGATATGGGATTTCAGTTTAATGTTTATCTCGATCTATATACAAGTAGAAGTGATTCCTTTGATCGAGTAATGTGCAAGCTATAAGATTGTGTCATCGTACACGGAATGATCATAATGTTGAATATTTTACCTCAAATCTTCGGACATCACGCGTCTCTTCATTTCTTAAATTTTTTATTCAGTTCTAAAAAATACATATGTTTTGTTTTGATATAATGGTTTAGTTTGAATTTTTACTTTTAGTATTTATATTGAAAACTATTAATAATAAAGATTAGAACGCAACGAATGTGAAATAATATTTTTAAGGTGTTTTTTTCTAATTAAAAAGATATCTTAAGTTAAATTTATGATAAAATTAAAATGCTTTATAACAAGAACTGGAGGAAGTATAATACAATACTCAATACCTAGTAACTAAAAAAATGCAAATTGCAACAGTGCAATCTAAGCGCAAGTTCCACGATAGATCTTATCCTTTGAGGGAGCAACGTGACCTCATATTTTGAAGAACGAATGTGGACAATATTGTGAGGTTATAAATTATTTAGTACGGTACTACTGTATATATATCTCTCCGTCCAAAACATAAATGTAAGACCAAATGGGGCAGTTGATCGTTTTTTTTGTTCATATTATAATTGTCCCAATAATTCTCAGTTTCTCACATTTAACCTAGACTACATTCGTATATATCCTTTTCGTCCTAAATTTATTTTCTTAAAAAAAAACATTTTGTTTAATTAATTGAAGAAACCAAGCAAAATGTCACAAACATCAATAATGTATTCCTTTTGTCCCAAAATTATTGTCCAATTTAAAATTTCACTTTTAGTACAATTTGAACTAGAAATGAAAATCCAAATTAGACAATAATTATGAGACAAAGAGAGTACTTAGTAAACAATTTTCATTGCATAGAGAAGCAAAAAAACTTCTTTTTAATAATGGAGGGCTTTTTCTAAGCCAAGCCCTACCCTCAACTAGTAATAGTAGATGCAAGAATAAAATGTATTTACATTTTACAAACTAACCGAAATTTTAAAATATACTAAATGGCGAAAAATTGGATAGCAAAATACAATAATTCCAAATTTCGACATAATTAACAGTAATAATAATAATAACAACTAATAATTAGCCAAAAGTTCACAGCAAGAATTCCATAAATTTCAGCCATGGCAAACCAAAACTCTTAGCCCTGGCCTTCTCCGCCTGTGTCGAACAGCTCGAAGCGGCGGCGGAGGACGACGTCGTTGAGGAGGTATTATTCTCTGCGCCGCACTTTTTAGGGCACAAGAAGAAGTTCCTGGACCCCAGCTCCATCAGCTTCTCTTCCCTATTCAAACCTGAAACGTGGATTACCAAAAAAATCAGTAAACAGTCATCCAATCAGATTTTAGTTCAATCAAATTGACGGCTGAGATTGATTTTTGGGGGCTTACTTTCTAAACTGAACTGAGAGTAATGGAGGTCAAATTCCGACGGTTGATCGGAGGAGAGAACCGGGCGACGAGCTTCCTTGCGGTACTGCCGGAGTGCCGCCGTGATGAGATCCTCCACGGTGGATTCCGGCGACATCAGGACCTGAACAACTCCCAGGCTCCTCTGAATCGTGACGTTCAGGAGCAACTTCGTCAGCTTCGCCGGCCGGATTTCGCCGTCCGACGGGGTCCTCTCCATGGATTTCCCTCCCGCCGACGAGAGCAGGTTCGGCACCGTTCTCGGTCTCGGCAGCAGCAACGCCTCACCTCCTTGACCTACCGACGAAGTTCCGGCGTGGAATGACTGCGCTTTTTCCGACAATTTCCCTTTCCGGTTCTTCTCCCCCACGGCGGCGTTCCCTCTCCGGTGGTGGCTCTTAGGCGACGGCATCTCCTTAGAATTATATATATGTATACTAATTGCGAATCTCTATATGTAATAATAATACAGGATGATTACTGTGGATATATTAAGTCGGAATGTGGAAATGGGGATTTACCGGAGACGGCGATAGCGGAAGAAACGGACACGAGGGAAGCCGAGAGCTTGAGAGGAGAGGGAGCTCTCAAATTCCCGGAGTCCGGCAGAGATCATAACCGGAGGAGCGCAATTCGCCGGAGATTGAGAGAGCAATGACTAAGAAGAATTGTGTTTTTTTTTTCTTCTTTTTTTTTTAGTCTGGCCGAAGTTTGAAGGGAGTGGAGGAGAAACACAGGGCTATTTATATGGGAAAGTTAAGAGGATAAGACACAGGAGGTTTTCTATACTGCCTTTCTATAATTGGTTGAACCGGTTACCGGCTTGACGGGCTGTGACTGGCTCAATAATTAGGAATTGAATTAGCCATCCTGAGTTGACCAGTCCATTTGATTTTGTTGACTACTCATTAACTGTGTAGAGAGACTCTGGTCATTTTCCGCCGTTGTTGTTATTTTTAGTAAATAACGTGTCAAAAATCAAAGGTTATATGTAATCCTCATCCCAAATGTGAATTCTAGATGAAATTTTGTGCCACAAATTCTATATAATCAGATTCTGATACGAAATTGTAAAGTCTATATAGAAAGTAATGCACTTAACAATAGCAACAGATTATTGGCAAATCGAGTTTGCTTGCGTAGTGAAAAGTGGATTGACGTTTTTCTTTTCTTCAGTGTAACTATTTCTTACTACTCTTCATATTTATATACTCCCTCCGTCCCATAATTATTGTGCACTTTGCCCAAAAAATTTTGTCCCAAAATTATTGTCCAATTTGACTTTTTATAGATCAAGTTACACATTGTCCTTAGTAAAAAACATTATCCATAAAATCTTAGTGGTTAAACAATTACTTATGTAGGGGTATATCCAGTTATTTAAGGTAAAATATAGTTAAATTTGACCGAAAATAAAATCTTTCATTTTAGTAAAACTGGACAATAATTATAGGACGGAGGGAGTAATAAATATAAACATGGCATGTCACTATATATACATGTTAAAATACTATTGTGAAATACGCTATTATGGTTTTTTTTTTTCAGTATGAGAATTACTTGTTTACTCGAAATGACTCTTCATGAGCAAAGGAGGCAATTATCTTTTCCAATGCAATTATTAATTAAGCTTGCGAGTTGTTATTTTTGGATCGTAGTAGGTGATTGCAAACAAATTTTGCTAATCAATCGATTGTCATACGTGCGTTGTTGTGCTTCTTTTTGTTAATACCTCGTATAAATCCATAGAATCATTCTAAATCTAAGAGCCAAAATCACTTACGGTATGTTTGTTTCGTTTTTTTAGTGTGTGTTTTTAGGTATTTTTATATTAGAAATATAAAAAAATGTATTAAAAATATAAAAAAGTATATTGGGATAAGACAGTTATTATTTTATTAATTTAAGAAAACCATAAAAAAAAAAATTAAATAAACAAAGCCTTAATTTTTTAAAACCTTTTTGAACAAGTTAAACGAGTAACTCCCTTGCGAGATCGATAGAGTTAAGAAGAGACGAGGAATTGATTTGTTTTTCCTTGGTCATGAAAAGATCACAATCTAATATTGCAATTTGCAACGTGATGATTTATACCTGAAAATTGTGCATTTAACTTTGGAAATAGACATTTTTCGTCAATTACTAGACCAACCCTGCGGTCCTCTGGCAGTGTGTACAAGGATCTATGGACGACGGTACACGAAGCAGGCAGCGCAGTTCCGTTCCCGACCTTCCAAAGAAAGTATTTACCTGTTATAAAATGATTGTACAGTTTAAATAAATTATATTTTAATATAATTTAAACTAAAAATAAAAATATAAATTGAAATTATTTTGAGACAAATATTCATATTGCCTCGAAAATTAGTCTAAGTTTTGAAAATTAAATTTATAGTGCTCCTCAATTTATTATATAAATATCATAAATATAGTTTTGCGCTTTTCTCGTCTCAAAATCATTCTCCCTGTTTAGATTTTTTATTTTTCGTTTAAATTAATGTATTAAAAATAAAAATTTAAATTGGACAATAATTTTCGATAATAACAATAGTCCCCGCCGTTGCTGCTGACGGTGAGAAGTGAGGAGTGAAGGTGGTGACACGTGTGGAAGTGACAGTGGTGAGTTGATTTTTTGACCATTTTTATTTTTTTGTGGTAAAAAAGGACGTCAGTTTTTTTGTATGGTGGTGCTGTATGTATCCCTTTGGCGGCTCTTCCATAACTCGCTCACAGGCTGAGAGATTAGATACTGATTGAATCTTGAAACTTGAGACGTGTCTCTCTCACCCGGTTAGCTGTATCTAAATTTGATGCCCTCTTTTTTGTTTTCTTTCGGGGAAGAACTTAACTCATAATTACTCCACTTTTTTAATACTACGCCACAAAAATAGTCTATATTGAATTTTAAGTTTTATATTGTTTTAATACAAATTTAAAAACTCAATGTAGACTATTTCTTCTGTCCCAAAAAAATAATCCAATTTAAGTTTTTAAATTTATATTAAAAACAGTACAAAATTCAAAACTCAATGTGGACTATTTTTCTGAGACAGAGGTAGTATTTTTTTAGGATGGGAGGACTACTTTTTTTCAGTTAAAAGGCTCATTATATTCAGTAATTACAAAATGACAATGTTGTAAGTAGTTGTCACTTGTTTTGTGTGTGTGTGTGTTTTTTAACTATACATTATATGGAAGATCAATAATAAGGCAAAAAATAGGAACTTCGATTTATTTAATTTTTTAAAATTGCAGGAGGAGGGAAATTTTTAGAAGTATTTCTCAAATTTCTGAAAATGTGATCTTTTTGTTCTTTACTTATTAGAGTATGATATGAGTATAATGACGGCGTCACATAACATGTGGGTTTTTTTTTTTTTTTTTCCCTCATCTGGTGTGATTTGGTTATTTGTGGAACGGTCTCGACTCTTCCTTCAATATTCAGAGATCAAAAAAATTTTATATTCGACCTCTCTCATTCGTATTTACCTCCGTCTCAAAATGTCGCCCCTGAACTTTTCGTTTGTATTACGAATTATTCTAAAAATGAAAATGCAAACATGAGAATTATTTTGGAATAAAAATAATACATAAATATCTTATATATTTGATCACTTATTTGTTGTTTTTTGTTTATAAGATTCATGTTCTTTTATATTTTGTTATTCGAGAAATAAACGTCTTATTTGAAACGTATGGATACTAGACATAGTAATACTGTCGAGTAGTTTTAGGGAAGGGCTGCAGAGGTTTTTGGAAGAGCATATTAATTCCTTACTTCGATTTGGGTGTTCAAACATTGTGGACTAAAATTCTAAAACTGGAATGTTTGAAACAAATTTTGTTGAGATCAAGTGAATATGGACATGTATTTCTTGGGTGCAAGGTCTACACTCTACAACTCTACATGATCATGTCAGATGAGTGTTTATGGCTGAATTATATTACTCTTCCGCCTTAAAAAAATAGTTCAAATTATTGAGATTTACTATGTCAATAGTATTCAACAATGGAAGATTTGACTATTTGTTTACCTTTTTTTTCTCTCCTCCTAGAAAAAAGGGTGATTTGTCTACGAAAATACTAATTTTATAATTATAAAAAAAAGTTAATACATAATTGATGCCTTTTTTCTTTGAATAATAATAAAGTTACGGAAAACTAAAGTTTACATAGGATTTGATTTTTTTTTTTAAAAAAAAAAGTGTATATCGGTTGCTAATTAAATTAATTTCTACTATTTTATGCTGTGATGATAGAGACAGGAGCATCCTAAATTATTGACAATCGCAAAGTAACATGTTTCTTTAACCTTAATTTTCAACAGAAAAGAAAGAACTATAAGCATCTCTAGAGTAACAAAAACCAATAATAGAGTAAGTGCCCAGTTCCTCCTACAGGATTGGAGAAAGAATCTTCGAGTTGTCAACCCTCATATCCAAAACTACAATTAACATCATAATGATAAAGGCAACTGTTTACAGTAAAATCAAGTTTTCGTCGGTTAATTGCCATCTATTGTTAATTAAGATAATTATTTTTAGAACGAAAGAAAGTACTAATTTTTAATCTTAATCTACCATGTAAACAACTCAGCTGATTGGCAATGGATAATAATGCAATTGCGATTCATTAATTATTGATTTTATAGAAAACGCGAGAAATGTGATATTCTTGATGAAGATCAATTGGTTAGCTACAAATTGTAGTGGTAACATGAGATTATCATCCTATTAGCTAGAAAGGTTAAATCTTCTCAGTGTGACTTATAATCAACCCCAGAGTCTACTTTTTGAGCTTCAGATATTTAGTTTTAACTATCATTTTACTTCTCTCATTTTTTTAAAATATCACAGAGTTTAAGTTTTGGCTGAGGTGGAATGCACTTGACGGTATAATTAAATGTACTGTGACGGTAGAAAAGAATCAAGTTTTGGTCCAATTGCGTTTGTTTTTTTAGGGGGCGATACCAACTGTTTGATTTTTTATTTTTCCCCATTACAAAAGGTTAATTTCATTAAATAAAATTAAATGATCCAATCAGGGACGGAACTAGGGCTGCAAAGGGGGTCGGCCGACCCTGCGGTTGGCGAATTTTTTTTAAAAATACCTTATAAATTTTAAAATATTTTGGAAAAGAAAATTTCTATATGTATTCGATCTTGTGAATATTCGGGACTAGTTCCGTCACTAGATTCAATGATATCAGCTGATTGACAAAGAAAGTTAATCCATACATGTACGTAACTATACAAACTAAACAATGTTGTCTATCATTGGAGAGGAATTAGAAGAATGTCGCCCGAGTCATTAGCAACTAAGATAAATAGAATTTCTAATTTAAACTCAATTAATTACGAGTGAGAATTGAACGACGATATCTTGTTTACGGGCTAATAGAAAATTTAGGGT